TGGGGAAGGTTTGACAGACACACAAGAAGAGCTAACCTTTTAAAACATTTAGGTCCATGAATGCTTTGCTGTATTTCAAAACACTGCTACTGTTTTGATTTTAGATGTCTATGGCCCACGTGTTGGAGGTCTGGTCCTCAGGGTGGGGCTACTGGGAGGTCACATAATCCCTAAGCAGTGGGGTCTGCAGGAATAGCCTTCAGTTATTGAAGGCCATGCTCTTGGAGGAGACTGTGGGACCCTGGTTTCTTCCCCTCTTTCAACTTCCTGTTCATGAGATGAGCACTTGTGTTGTGCACCCTGATTATTCCACTGATGAATATAGCACCTCCATGATGCACACACCTTTCAAAAACACCATTTTTGTAAACTGAAACTTTTGCAGGACATTTGAAATAAAAACCATAACACTTAGGCTTTCCTATTCTCTTCGATAAGATGGAGTTTGGCCAGGCCCAGATGGCTTCATTGGACCTTCATAAAAATTTTTAAGTAATTCATTTAACATCTCAGTATATGCAAACAAAAGATTTGACAAAGCCTGTCATCCTGTCATGATTTTTTTTTTTAAACCAACTCTATAAACTAACATTATGTATGAACTTCCTTCACTGGATGTAGAACACCTGTGAAAAATCCACCACTAAATTCATACTTGATTTTGAAAGACTGAAGTTTCCCTCAGGCTAGAAATAAGGAATTCTTGTGTGCTGTCATCTTTTCAACTGCTAAAGTAGCAATCATTTCTAAAGTATAATTTTTATTTATTTATTTTTGGTGGTACCGGGGATCGAACTCAGGACCTTGCACTCACCAAGTAAGCACTTATTCCACTGAGCTATCTCTCTGGTCACTCTAAAGTATAATTTCTGGGAGTCTGAAGGGCCTTGGTTAGGTCCAGCCTTTCTGAAAGCCATTTTGGAAATTTCCTCATGGGGAATACCTAGCTATGCGATGACTGAGGCCAGAGGCACATCAACTGCATTGACTTCAAGAGAATGGGCCTGGTTGCTCTAGGCCATCCAAGGGAAACTCCCACTTGCTAGACTGAGGAGGAATCTGGTTACCAGATTCTTTATCCTTCAATCACCCGTGGTCACTTTTACAACCAGGAAAGGCAGCATGCCTGGTTCCTAAATGTGACTCCAGGACCACAAACTCAAGAGGCTTTAGGATCAAGCTCCATGCAAAGTCCAAGGTGGCACGCGGAGCTGGGCTCTCGGGTTCCAGTCACCCAGACACTCACACATACCAGAGGTGCAAGACACCAACCAAGGAGTAAAGCACCAACATGGCAGCCTACGCTGGGCATGTACTATTTGGATTTCCTGTACTGTATTCTCCTGAGAGCAAACTGGACTGGTTGCTACATGCCTCCCCCAAAGGAGGGTGAGCCTGATAGGGTTCCATCGTCAGATCTGGCCCCAGCTTCTTCACAGACTCCATTATGACCTGGCGGGTTCTAAACGACAGAGGACTTAACTCTTTTTTTTGGCGGAACTGGGGATTGAACTCAGACCCTTGCGCTTGCCAGGCCAAGCGCTTATTCTACTGAGCCATCTCCCTGGCCCCCATTAACTCTTGCTTCATCTAGTCATTGAACTCTCTTAGCTGTAGCCTTGAGCCAGCCCCAAAGGAGCTTGGCTTCCTCATTGAATGTAATACTTTCTTGTTCCAGGCCCTGTGGAGCTGGATTAGAATGGGGAAGAGAGAACTACAATTTGATATCATCTCTGCCCATGGGGGCCACCACTCCTGCCCGGGAGACTAACCAAGAAATTATTTCAACAATCTGATTGCAAAACAAATGTTGTATCTCAGTTGGTCTCTTAATGTTGGGGAAAATGGCTTGCCAGCATCTCGACAAATTCGAGTCATGTTAGTAAAGGCACGCATTAACCATCCCCATTTTTTTTTTTTTTTTTTCCCACTTGGCAAGCAAAGAGATGGGCAGTAGACATGGAGGGGAGTTAAAAAAGACATTGGTTACTCATACCCTCCCGCTTTCCAGCCTTTACTATTACTGGAGAACTGATCAAACTCCAGTAGAAAGAAGACAACTAGAACTGAACAATTAGAAGTTGATGGGGAAAATGGTGATGTCAAGTAAGAATACAAAAATAGGCTGGAGGGTCTGAAGTACTTCAACTGTGGATTTGGGATTCAGTGTTTTCTCATGCGGGCAGCTAAAATGTGCTACAGAAGTAACATCAAGGATTTGTTCGAGTTACTTTCTCAAGCGAAGTAGAGATAGCTCATGTATATGAAAAGGTGCATGTAATTACAGAAGTTTGCAGTGGGCAAAATTTAGGGAGAAACTGTTAGGGGTCACTCAGCATAGGAACCAGATCAGCCAAATAAGAAATTTGAATAGAGCCTTTTGTTTACTGAGCTCAAGTCCGTCAGTCACTTCTCACGCGGGACAAGGCTGACTGGCAATCAAATGTAGGTAGCAGGGGGGTATTTATAACAGAAATCACATCCAGTTTGGTAAGCGAATTTGTTATCTAGCACAGAACAACAGAAGACTACATTCATTTGACACAGCTGCAAACTGTAACTAAAGATCTTTCATAGCTTAGTGATAAGTACATATTTTACAAGATACATCTTAAGCTGACTATGTTACAGGAGATGGTTAGGGAGGGAGTTTGCTGCCTTGACAAGAAACAGTTAACTATTGTTCAACAGCCTTGAGCCCAGAGGGAGAATACATGTCTTAAAGTAGGTAACAGGAAGCACAAGGTTTTTTAAAAAATAATTTCCCACAGTTAAGGCACAGAATTCTGTTAACCCTTTACAGAAATATACACGAGTCCTATCTGTGAAGTATTTATTTCGTGCCACAACTACACATGGCAGCATACCAAGGGACAACAGCAAGAACAAATAACATTTATTTCCCTCTATGTCCTTCACATTGTCTACAATGAAAATAGGTATCTTTTCCAGCCGAGACTAATAAAGTTTTGTTTTGTTTTTAACAGAAAAAAAACAAAAACAAAACCTTGGGTAGAGTTAACCACCCTTCTGAGGTGGAAGGAGGAGCGCGGGCCTCTGAGCCCCGCCGAGGTTCCATTTCCAAAGCTGAGTTCTCACGGATCTCTTCAGGAAGGATCCCGTGGTGAGCTTCGGAGCCGCCGCACCGGGGAGGGTCCTTAATCTACTCGCTCCGGGCGTTTCTCACACCGCCCCGCAGATATCCTGGAATATGAATGAACGCCCAAGACACAATCACTGCTAACCAGAGCGCACGGGGACCCGCAGTGGAACCGCAAGTGGGTTTCACACTCAGGCGCAAGGCCCGAGGTTCACAACTACCGGAAGCGGAAGTCTCCGAAGGCAGACTACTGGACGCGGGGCCGGAAGCGGAAGCTAGGCGCCGGAAGTGCGCGCGGGGCTCACAATGGCTGAACGCGGGCTAGTCGCCTCAGAGTCTCTGGCGGGCTGCAGGCCGCGGGCGGCGCGCACCGTGCTAGGTCAGGTGGTGCTCCCGGGCGAGGAGCTGCTGCTGCCCGAGCAGGAAGAAACCGACGGCCCTGGCGTTGCGGGGGAGCGACCCTTGCGCCTGAACGCCGGGGTGCGCTCGCGATTGCGCGTTGTGTGCGGCCCTGGCTTGCGGCGTTGCGGCGACCGACTACTGGTCACCAAGTGTGGCCGCCTTCGTCACAAGGAACCTGGCTGTGGCAGCAGTGGCGGCATTTACTGGGTGGACTCGCAGCAGAAGCGGGTGAGTTGAGACTTGGGAGGGGTTCTGGGAAACTTCTCAAAGGAAGCCCGTTTGGGACCTTCCAGCCTCTTTAAGGCTAGTCTAGTGCCACCGTATTCTTGTGTGGAAAAGTCCGAGGAGAGCGACCAGGGGAAAAAGGCTCCTGGAGATCTTGAGTCATGGTTATCCTCAGAATCCAAAACGCCAGGAAGTGGCAGGCATGGGTGTTGGGAGTCCCAGAAGGCAGAGTCAGTAGCAGTGAGTGGAAATCACCAAGAGTTAAATTCTTTTTGAATGGTTAAGAACGTTCACATAGAAAAAAAAATGTGTAAGAATGGAATGGACTGCCTTGGGTTTAGTAAGGATCCTTGTGTACTGGATTTATGTGCAACAGAGATTGGAGATTTACTGGAAAGGATATCGAAGTGTACTGGATTTATGTGCAACAGAGATTGGAGATTTACTGGAAAGGATATCGAAGAAAAATGAGATACTTGTTCAGATTAAGACTGTTGCTAGCAGCTAAAAGGTCGGCCCAGTGTTGTGCTCCGGTCCCAATTACAGTGCTCTGGAGACAGAGGTGGGAGGATTTCTTGGTAGGAATTGGGAGACTAGACTGTCACCAAGACTGAACCTCAAAACCAACAAAGTGGCATTTGCAAATTTGAGGGTTCATGTAAGTGACATACCATATTTCTTTTAAGGTTTGTTAGTTTGTAAACTTGAAAAATATTTTCTAAACATCTCTTAAATGACAGTGAAACAACTACTAAGGACATGTGAAAGGCAATTTCCAATGATATGTCAATGACTTTTCTCATTGTTTTCATTTGTAGTATGTACCAGTGAAAGGAGACCACGTGATTGGCATAGTGACAGCCAAGTCTGGAGATATATTTAAAGTTGATGTTGGAGGGAGTGAGCCAGCTTCTTTGTCTTACTTGGCATTTGAAGGTGCAACTAAAAGAAACAGACCAAATGTGCAGGTAATGATAGGAGCCTTTGGTGTAAACATTAAAAAAGAAAGAAAAAAGCCATTTCCCAGAACATTCAGCTCATCCAGACGTCTCTCCCAAATTGTCTCCATAATGTGAACTACTTGGCTAGCTCTGCAGAATGATCTCTGGACATTTTTTTTTTTTTTTTTTTTTTGCGGAACCGGGGATTGAACTCAGGTCCTTGCGCTTGCCAAGGAAGCGCTTATTCCACTGAGCCATCTCCCCGGCCCCTGGACATTTGTTTAATGGCACCATGCTTCAAGAGTTCCCTGGATGCTCCAGCTCCAAAGCCACAGCCACATACATTAGCTGCATTAGCTTTTGGGATGTTTTATCTCTCCAGAGTTGAACGTGTGTTTTATCTGTTGCAGAAGACCCATAGTCTTAGGGCAGTGGGACAAAATATTGTATATTGTCATTGTTAGCATCTGTCCATCTTGGTTATAGGTTCTTGGGACTAACAGAAGAGTAATCATGTTACCACAGATTTTTTAATTTGGGCTTTGAAGGTGTGTAGCTATATTCTTTCTGCCTTCCTAAGCCTTTGGGTGCTGCTTCACCTGTTTTCCTTCCTCACAGGTCTTTATTTAATCTAATCTTTATTTAATCCTTTTTTTTAAAAAAAAATTCTATTTTTATCCTATGTGATCTGTCTCTGATCTTTTGTATGTCTATTCCTTTATCTCTGCCTAGCAGATTGAAGTTTTAGCTCCTTCTTGACAGGACTCAAAGATTTCATAAACACCCCTGCCTCCATATTTTTACCTTTCCATCCTGACATCCCCACACATTCACTCTCCTTTTTTTTTTTTTTTTTCCCGGAACAAGGGATTAAGCTCAGACCCTTGTGCTTACCAGGGAAGCACTTATTCTATGGAGCCATCTCCCCAGCCCCTACTTTCTCAAAAGAAAAAATTCCTTAAAACCTACAAAATGTTTGGTATTACACTTAAGGGTCTTCTCTTACCCATAATTATATCCTTCAAACCGTACCAAATACCACTGCACTCATTTCCTGCCTTTGGGCTTTTGTTCATGCTGTTCCCTTTACCTGGATTATACCATCTCCTTCTGACCCTGCGGAACATATGCTTATCCTTTGAAGTCCAACTTAAATTACCACTGTAAAGCCATGTCTAATTGTCAGTATTGTATCTTTGCTGTACCCTTTACTGGATGTAGCCTTAAATGAAATTTGTTTACATGTACATTCCTACTATTGTTTAAGATGCTTCAAACACAGAAAGTGATTTTGTTCCTAATTCCTAGTTACCAACAAACAGTAGGTACTTAATAAGTGTTTTGCTTAAGTAAACAATAAATTCCCATACCATTTCTTTAGTTTCATTATTTTGAAGTTCAACTCTGAAATTTTAAAGTATCAATAAGTTACAGTTGTTCCATTTGGTTTTGAATAATTGCATTGTTATCAGAAAGTTACAGTTTTTCCATTTGGTTTTGAATAATTGCATTCTGCAAGTTCCCTTTGTAATTCTGTAATTATCTAGACTAGGAATATTTATAAGAGAACTTTTTTTTTTTGTATTTAGTACAGGTTCTACAGGGTCTCACTACATAGATTGAACTCGCAGTGATTCTCCTGTTTTTAGCCTCCCAAGCACTGGTATTACAGGTGCGTGCCACTACGCCCAGTCTCAATCACCGAGGACAGGGCCAGCACTGCATGCTGGGGATTGAACCTTGGCTGCTGCACTGTGCCTAAGCAGACGCTTTAGTGTGCTGAGCTATCTGGCTGGCCCTGTGACTTTTAAAAATGTTTTATATCTGCACTGATTAATATGCTAGCCATTAGTTACATGTAGCTGTCCAGCACTTGAAATGTGACCAGTGTAATGGGAAACTGAATTTTACATAATCGAATTTTAATTAATTTAAATGTTTAACGACACATGGATTTTAGTTTAATCTTGGAGGCTGTTTCTTTGGCCTTAATGTAGCTCCTAGTCTAAGGATTTTCTGGTGGGTTTTGGAACAGTTACATGTATTAACTCCAAAGTAGAATTTTAGCATGTAGTCCAGTGATGGCCAGCCTTTGAGGGTCTAAGTGACAAACTGAAAACCTACTTGTTCATTGCAGAGTGCCCAGACTGCAATTAAACTTGAATGCTGAGGTTTTAGTTTAGGAAAAACACCTGTACATAGAAACCTTTTTGTTTAAAAGAAAAATTAGTAAAATAACTTTCTTTTAATAAAATAACTGTAGGTTGGAGACCTCATCTATGGCCAGTTTGTGGTTGCTAATAAAGATATGGAACCAGAGATGGTCTGCATTGACAGCTGTGGAAGAGCCAATGGAATGGGTGTAATTGGACAGGATGGACTTCTCTTTAAAGTGACATTAGGCTTGATTAGAAAGTAAGTCCTGGTGCCTACTAGCTTGTCTGCCTTCTTTTATAATTACTGTACCTACTTGGAAAGCTGATGACTCTTTGGGATTTGGATTGTTCATTAACAGCATCTAATTTCTCTTCAAAGTTCATTAAAAATAACATTTTTTCTGTGTAAGTTTAAAAATGCTAATTTTAGCATATTTGTAAGCTCATGACTATAGCCTCGTCCCTTACTATGTCCAAGTTAGATGTGATGTTTCTGATGTTGGTGTAGTGTCTGGGTTGCTACTTCTTTAAATTCCTACTGTTCCTTTCCTTTCTCCTCTACCTAGTGTAAGAGCTAGCTTTTCTTCTAAGTCATTTGAATATGGATGCAGTCAGCACTTGTACAGATTAATCAGATTTCTCTAATGGTGGCCAAATGCAGCTAGATGGATGTGATGCTTAAGTTTATGCAGACACTTACCCAAGGCTTCTGCTACTCTACCCTGGCAGCTTTAATGGCTCCCACTAAATACATTGTCAGGTGTTTTGTTTTTTTTTTTTTTTTTGCTTTGCGGTATCGGGGATTGAACTCAAGACCTTGTGCTTGGCAGGCAAGTGCTTATTCAACTGAGCTCTCTCCCCAGCCCTGTGTCAGGTGTTTAGACCTTTCCCAAAGCTGTGTCATTACAGGGTTTTACCTGTACAGCTATTAAAGTTCAGTGCTAGCTTTTAGACCTTTCCTTCCTACCAATTTTGCAGATTTGGAGAATATGTCTGCAACATTAGAAAGGCATGTTATTAACTGAGCAGCACCCTGTGGTTCCAAAGAGCCAATATTCCTCTTCAGGTACTAAGTTTAATACCAGGTAGTAACTTACATCATCAGGAAAGTAAGTTTAACATGTTTTCTTAGTACTGTAATAAAAGTTTTATGGAAGAAATGTAGGTTAGAAACAAATGGGGGGCAGCAGTGTCACCATATTTTCTTAGAACTATGGAGAGCTGCCCAGAGAAGTGTCTTAAGAGCCAGCACCCAGCCCACCACATCACTGCATTTCATTTTCTTTCTTCTTCCTCACCAGGTTGTTGGCGCCAGATTGTGAAATCATACAGGAAGTGGGAAAACTCTATCCACTAGAGATTGTATTTGGAATGAATGGAAGAATATGGGTTAAAGCAAAGACTATTCAACAGACTTTAATTTTGGCAAACATTTTGGAAGCTTGTGAACACATGACAGCAGACCAAAGAAAACAGATCTTTGCCAGATTGGCAGAAAGTTGATAAATGTGAACTTCTTTAATGAGTCAGTTGAACCAAGAAACTGGGTTTCCCAGGAAAACTTTTCAGGTGAACCTCTCCTACTAAATCTTAAGCAGGCAAGATGTGAATGTACGTATTGCCCAAGAGTGTTAAATAAAATATTTTTATAAGAAAAGTACTGGTTTTCACTCATGTTCTTGTAAGAAAATCCTAAAATTGTAACTTTTGTTTTATGTAATAGTTTACTAAAACAATACAGTTCACTTATTGGAAGGTAACAGTTGCAGCTTCTATTATGATCTGGAAGTCAGCATTAAAAGTTCTTTTCTGATTACACTAGTGATGTTTCCCAAAGGAAATGTAGAATATATAAAAGTACAAAACAAATCGCCTGTAACCCCTTATATAATAAGAGTATGTAGCAGTTAATGATTCCATTAACTGCAAAGCTAGTATGGCTACAAGAGACTTTTCCTCGGTTGAAGAGACTCAGGCACAGAATTCACTGGGTCTGTACTTTTAACCAGTACATATATGTGTGTTGAACTTTTCCGATTGGAACTACAGAGTATCTTTTGCAATATACTTTGAACATTTTACAACACATTTCTCATAATTATTAAAAACTCAGTAACACTGTATTTTCATAGTATAGGATACTTTGAATATATTTAGTTTTTTTGTTGTTGTTACCTAATTAACACAAATGATCAGGATTATGAATCCAAGTCTGGCCAAGTCTTATTTTGCTAAAAGTGTCTTAAAAGCCAAATAAAAACTATTTGCTTGCGTTTTGAATCAATGAGAAAGGTGTGTAATACTATTTGGTATAGTAACAAAGCCTTTATAAGTAAAAATGGAGACTGGGGCAGATGAGAAAAGTTACGTGGTTTGGGGTCATAGGCCTCAGACTGAGTTCTAGACTCCCCTGGAGTCCATTTGGGATGAAAGAGATTATAAAACTCAGTATGTTAAAAATGAATAAACTATATTCAAAAGGTTTTCTGAAGCCTGGCTTGTTTTTAAGTAATGAAAATATTGATATAATTTATCACGTGATCATAGTTCCTGAGGGATTCAGTGGTAAAGGGGTAGAAGGTAGAGCAGAGGTAACTTTTTGGTTCTTCTGTGATGTAGAATGCATTTTCTAAATTTGCTAATAGCTAAACTAGTAGGTCAATTAACTCAAAAGTGGTAGACATAACTGAAGAAACTGTAAGATACAAGAAATATGTAATAATAAAGTTTGTATAGTGAGAGGTAGATTAGGTTTACATGTCTTTCTGCTTTTGAGTTTCTCTGTTAATTACAAATATGTATGAATAATCTTGTGTGTGCAAGTTCAGGATACAAAGGTACTCATACACACTAGAAGAGAGAAGCCTTGCACATGTACACCCAGAACCAGGTAAAGAGGGTATGAGCCATGGGAGGAAACAAGGGCCGTGAGGGCTCACTAGGGAGGGGCTGGCCTGATTTTCCAAAGCTTATGTGCAGCATGTTACTGAGCTGGGAAAAAAATCAACATATTTACTTAAGAGGACAAGGACAGAATCACACAATTTTTTTGTTGTTGTAGGGCCTCACTACGCAGCTCCTCCTGGTGATCCTCCTGCTTTCAGCTTCCCCAGTGCTGGGATTACCTGAGAGTGCCACTATGCCAGGTCCAGACTCTGGCCGGCTCAGCCAGCCCTGGGTGTGGGCAGGCATGGCATGTGGTGCTGGGGATCGATGTGTGGTCCCTAAGCTTGCCTAAGCAGGCATTTTAGTCTGCTGGGCTATCTCGCCATCCTAGAATCCCATAAGTTCATGCCAGTTTAGTGAAAATTAAACTCTTGACATAATATTGAATTATTACACAATCTCTAAAGCAGGTTTTTCAGAAATAGATACAAAAGATGAATTAATATTCCCAAAGCCAGGTAGTTTTAGGGATAATTCCTTGTTATACAAACTTATCAGGGCACCTCCTGCGAGACAGGTGATACAAAAGCCTAAAATACGGTCCTTGCCACTGGTGACTTATCCTATAAAGATCCAAGGAGGTCAAGAAGAGGCAAGTTGTGTGTCATGACCACAGTTTTCTTTGGTGAAAACATTTCAGGCTGCTATTATTCGTCTGAATTCCACAGAACATAGCCTTTTCCTGGAGAAACTCCTTTCTTCAGTGCTTCAGGCCAGTTGTGAGTATCAAAGTAAGTGGACAGGATATCAAAAACTTAAAAGGTAAACACAAAACAAAATGACCATTAGGAAAGAGCTAGTAAATGCCTAGTAAGAAAAAGTGAAATACTGTACTACATCACATAGGGTACTTGGTTTTGGGAGGACCAAAGCAGTGACACAGCTCTGCCTGCTCATAAGGACTTAAGCCTACACTGGAAGGTAACAGGCTTGTGAATGGACAACACTGTAAACCAAAGGACCAGTACCATGGGAACACAAGGGAGGGGCCCTGATGGCCTAACAGGAGAGGGAAGCCAATTAGGATGCTCCTGAACTGAATCCTGAACATACAAGAATGCACAGGTCAATCGGGTAAAAGAGGGATTCTGGGAAAGAGACAATTTCAATTACTTTTAACAGTTGAGGACCAGGAGGAAAATGACTGCCTCTTAGGGGCCAGAATATATGCCACAAAGTGCCTGTAATAAAACCCAGGTGTATTAGTCACAAGTTACTAATGGAAGGGGCACTTACACCTGAACACATTTAATGCAAGCTGGGTGTAGGCCATGTGAGTAGTACCTTGATTGATGGACAGTATCTCTGAATGATAGTTTTTCTCATTTTGGCGCCTGACCATGTATTCCTGGATTGGCAAACGGGCTGTCTTGACAGAGTGTTCCTGGGCTTTTTGCAATGTCACTTTCTGTAAATCAGAATTAAATACATTTATTATAAAAATCATACATGGATATATATTCTCATGGTAATAAACAGAGCAAATAAGAATCCCCATTGATCACTACACCAGTTTTATGTAATCACCAACAAACATACTAAGAATTAATAGCTTATGAAACTGGAAGAAAATGCAGATAATGAGTAGTTATCCTCAGTAGGAAATGACATGTGTAACAACACCTCACTTTTTGGGCAGTTTTCCCACAAACTTTCATACTCTGAAAAGCAAAAGGCACAGCCACAGCTAAATGTAGCATGAAGAAGCCAAGGCAGGCTAGCCAATCAGAGAACACTCCCAGCTCTAACTCAGACCAATTCTGACTATATGGTATTTTAAGTTCATAACCAATTGGTAGAGGCAAGTTAAAGAAAAGGTATTTAAGAATGGTGCAAATAGGCAACAAAGCAACGCTACAGTATTGTTATATCTTGTATCTAGATGTCCCCACAAAGCCTCATGCACTCATAGGTTGAGCTTTTGTAGTTGGCTGGATCTAGGGCGCAGGACACTGGGATTAAGGGTGTGTGATATGAAACTAGTACACTGACTTGAATTAGCATAGTTCTGGGTGTGGCTGAATGGATTTATTGAAAATAAGCTCCACACTGGATGTGGGTGGCATGACCCAAAAGGTTTGTAGTCTGTGTGGGATAAAGGGGAAAGGTAGGCTCACTGCTGCTGCTGCTGCTTCCCTGCTCTCTCCTTGTCACGAACCGTTTCTCCTCTCTGATGTCCCTGTCAGGCTACTGTGCCCGGGAGCCAGCTGTCTAGACACTGAAACCTGTACAAACTGAGCTGAAATAAACCTTTCCCCTTTTAACTTGTGTGTCAGGTACTGTGTCTCAGAGAAGAGTAAGACAGGTGTGAAAAACAACAGCCCAACTAAAAGGAAGAAAACTGCAAAAAGGAGTCAGAAAACCTCAAAGAATGCTGCTATAAAGAAACATTAACTCTGCATAAGATGCCCCTGAGTCATTAGCTGGAATTTAAATTGTATTTAGCACCTTGTAAAATGTGCAGGGAAGATATTAGATTATGAAAGTTTGTGGGAAAACAGTGCCCAAAAAGTGAGGTGGTGTTACACGAATCATTTCCTACTGAGCATAACTACTCTGCATTATCTGCATTTCCTTCCAGTTCCATAAACTACTTATTCTTAGTATGTTTGTTGGTGATTACATATGAAAACTGCCATAGAGATGAATAGGGATTCTTATTATTTGCCTATTACCATGAGAATATATATCCATGTACAATTTTTATAATGTATAACTCTGATTTACCTTTTAAGATTTCAGGATTAAAGAGAAAGGTGTAGGTCATTGGGATAATAAACGTGGGTTTAGAGAGGCCTCAATACCTGTTACCTGTTTCAATTCAACCACTAACTAGTGTTTGTCTCTGATCTCTCCCAAGGGTCAGCTGATCACTTCATGGCCAACTACTGTGACATGGGTTTGTGCATGCTGTGATGATCCATTCCAAACCAACAGTACCGAGTGGGAGGAAGTTCTTTTTAATACTGAGCCAAACTGTTTTCTCTTAAGACTGCCATGAATTCACGTAGTTATAATCCCAGGGCCACAGTAAGAATTAAAAGGGCCCTTCCATGAGATGCTATTTACATTCATGGAGATGTGAGCACAGCCCTACGAATGCTCTTGTCTCCATACTGAAAGATTAATTGTCAACTCTTCTGTATGACTTGAGCACTTCATCATTCAGGTCAACTCTTCCGAACTTGTTCTAGCTTGTCAATGTCCTTTCATTTATGAAACTATTACTATCTGGCCACCATTTAGCATGATCTAACCAAAAACAATAGTGCAAAGGAGGGCAAGTGCCTTCTTTGTTCTGAAACTGGATGATCTACCTATCAGACTCACATGAAACAGAATCCCAGGAACTTCCAAAAATGTTTTAAGATGTAATTCAGATGGAATAAGGCCATGACTACTAAAAAGGACTACACTGAAAGGTAATACTCCTCTGCATAGACAACCTCTGATATATTTGCTTTTAAGAAATGCCTTACTGCTTTATAATCACTCTTCATATAGTACAGAATTCAAAGTTAGCTACTGTGGAAGCTAAGAGCTTACAGTATTAGCTTGTTTTCTATGCTCATTAAAGATAAAAATGACTACTTAAATACTTTCTTAGTGTACTTCTGTGAAAAAGCCAATATCCCCAGCTTAAAAAAAACAACAAACAAAAAACAAATATCTGCCTGCTTTCCTCTTTCCTTTCTTCCTTTTTTTTTTTTTTCCTCAGAACTGGGGATTGAACTCAGGTCCTTGCACTTGCCAGGCAAGCACTTATTCTACTGAGCCATCTTCCCGGCCCCTTTCTTCCTTTTTAAAATCTGAGACAGGGTCTCATTATGTAGTACACACTGGCCTTGAATTCAGGGCAATCCTCCTGCCTCACCTCCTGAATGCTGGGAGTACAGGTGTGTGTCACCACATTGGGCTCGCTCATACCACACCACATGCCTTTCTAGTTTATTCAGTTTAAATATTTAAATATTTGATAAAAGAGGATTGTGTTAAAATTGCACAAATACAGATCATATGTTGCTTGTGACCCTTCAATTTTACTGTCTCAAAATAGAGGAATTGATGCCTATTGCAGGAAAATGGTGACAATGGACAGGGTAACTTGTCTGTCTCTGCAATAAAGCTGTCTCCCCTTCCCAACATTTTATTTTGAAATATTTCAAGCTTAAGAAAAGCTGAAAGAATAAAATCAATACTCTTGTCAACTACCTGTTAACATTTTATCAAATTTGCATCTCTCTGTACATAAAAGCAGGTTTTCTCAAACCACCTAAGACTTAGCTACAGACATCACAACATACTTCTGCATGAATGTGAGAACAATGCCATTCTTGCACTTTACTTGTTCTAGCTTGTCAATGTCCTTTCATTTATGAACTTTAGCCCTTTTCCCTCCTAAGATACTCAGCTATAGTTCTACATGATTGACTAATATAGATCCTATATTAAAATCTCCCTAAACTGGGCTGAGGACATAGTCCAGTGGCACAGCACCTGCTTGGCAAGCATGGGGTTGCGAGGTACCAAAATAAATAAAACAATAAATCAAATTCCCCCCGACTACCCTTTAAAAAGCTTTCATACAGCTTTCTTTCCAACCAGAATCCAATCAAGGCTCACATACTGCACATGACTGATTAGTTATGGACTACTTTATTGAGATGGGATCCCACTATGTTGCAAGTGTAAAGGCTCAAGTAATCCCCTTGCTTTGGCCTCCCCAGCAGCTGGGACTGCTGGTGGGTACCACTGTGTGTGTTTGTTTGTTAAATCTCTTGTAATCTAAAACAGCTCCTTCCCTGTTTTAGTTCTCATCCCATTAACTTTTACAAGTGCAGTCCAGTTGTCTTGCATAATCTCTCCCTTTCCAGACCTCCTGTTCCCTCATGGTTATATTGAGCTGAAACATTTTTGGGCAGGGTGAGAGTCTATCTCATTAGGAAGCACTCTGTATCACTACTAGTGACATTTGATCAAGTCTGAATGAGATGATTACCACTAGATTGCTTCTTCACTAAAAGAAATGAGCGTGGAGCCGGGAGATGGCTCAGTAGAATAAGCGTTTGCCTGGCAAGCACAAGGGCCTGAGTTCAATCCCCGGTTCCACCAAAATAAATAAATAAATAAATAAATAAATAAATAAATAAATAAAAGAAATGAGCACTACTCTCTCTCTCTTTGCTTTTTGAGACAGTCTTGCCGTGTAGTTCAGGCTGGCCTTGAATTCACTATATAGCACAGGCTGACCTCAAACTCAAAGCAATTCTTCTGCTTCAGTTTCCCAAGTCCTGGGATTACAGGCATGTACCATTACCTACACCCAGCAGAAGAAAGACTTCCCTGACCAGGAACTGAAACTGGGCTACAGCAGTGAGCGCTCCAAATCCTAACCACTGGGCCACAGGGTCCTAGACCTAGATGTTGGGGCTGAAAGACGTTCTTACCTTTTGAATACTTTCATCCACAAGTCCCCCAAGGACATAAATTTTGTTTTGATCAACATCTTCAAGAGCTAATTAAAAAAATGAAAACCACTGAAATTAAATGTTTCATAATTTTTAAATCCAAAGAAGGCAAAAGTAAAAAAAAATTAACAATAAAAGTTGAAACTTAACAAAAAGAGATAATAGATTTCCTCAATGAAACCAAAGTTTATTCTCTGAAAGATCAAAAATATGGGCAAACTGTTGGTATATTTCATCAAGAACTTGTAATCCCAGTACTTGGGAGGCTGAGGCAGGAGGACTGCTGTGAGTTCGAGCCCAGCCTGGACTACAAAGTGACCTCAGGGCCAGCTTGAACTGCAGTGAGACCCTGTCTCAAAAAGACAAAAGAAAAAAAAAAGGGGGAAACAAAATTAAAACTACACACAAATGTGTGAAATAATTAACAATCAACTCAATACTAATAAATTTGAAAAGAATGTGAAATGGATCATTTTGTTGAAAAGCATATATATTTGATCCCAGAACCAAGAGGGGAAGCTGACCAGGGAAACTGCACTGCAAAGTGGCCTGAGTCCAGCTGAGCAGGGAAACCCTAAATCTGTGCAGCAATGCGCATGCAGCAGGACACAGGCAAGCACGCAGTGACGTGTCTGCCTGAAGAAGGTGTGTGGTTGTCATTCAGCCTCTCACCTTCTGACACTCCTGGAGTGGCTTTAACAAATTCTGCCACAGGGAATAATGAAACAAAGGCCAGGAACAAAGTGCTACAGGAAGCACAGAAATGTACCTACCATGTTCTGAGTCGGGAGTAAGATACACAAGGGTTTCCAGAGGAAATAAACTAAAGCAGTCTTCTTCCGTTATGTCTAGCTAGAAAATGCAGAGAATCCAATGTAATAAGAATGAAATTAAAACATAATCCACAACTAACAAGTCGTTACTGTGAATCTAGTTATCTTTAGGCCTGGCTCTAGGTGTACTAAGCATTGCATGTCTGATGGTTTCTGTTCAGGAAGTGCTTGGTCAGAAAAGGAGACATAGAGAGCCAAAGATATTCAAACCTCTGAGACAAGCAGTGAATATGGCTCTTACAAGGGTACAGGAAGGGTGGACCAGCACCACCGATGAAAACGTAAGGATACCAAGATAACCTGGCGGAGGGAACGCTGGAGCTGGGTTTCTGGAAAGCACTAAGACTGACACGTACAAAAGGAAAATTCAAAGTGGAGTGAATTGCCTAAGGGAAGCAGGAAGATAGGGAAGCAAGGAAGCCACATGGCACTGAAGTGGGTCTGCTGGGCTTCCGTACAGAAATCTTTTTTTTTTTCCTGTATTTTAGGGACAGGTCTATAGGATGTTCAGGGTCTCACTACTAGATCAGACTCATAGTGATCTGCCTGTTTACAGCTTCCCAAGAGCTGGGATTACAGGCACAAGCCACCATGCTCAGTCTCAATTGCCATCTCAGCCTACCTCAGGGGCAGCACAGCAGGCCCCAGGGATTGAACCCTGGGCCCCTGTGCTTGCCTGCAGGCACTTTAATCCACTAAGCTATTTGGCTAGCCCCAGAAATCAATGAAAAAGTACAGAGAAATAAACTGGAACTGGCTCACTACAGCAGCCTGTTGAGCAGTAACTACAGGTGGTCGTGTAGCAATGCACAAAGTGCCCTTCATGCTCACGGGCTCCATGCGCCCTAGAGCAGGCCACAAAGCTCAGTCCCAGCTACCCAGACAAGGGCATTTTCTGGGTAGCTGGGACACTTCTTAGAAACTGAACTGAACTCTTATTTGTATATCACTACATTTATGAAATTCTAGGCAGTATCTGAAAAGTACCTTAATAATAAACTTGCTACAACTCATATTAAGTCCGTACTACTTCTGAAAACACTCTTTTCTTTCAGAAGTTATGTTTCTTAATAGTGCATGACTGAGAATGAGAAAGGAGTTGTGGTGTTTTCCAAAAGTGTTACTGGAGTGTACAGTTTAGCACAAACTATACAGGTTACAAAATACAGGCCTAGATACTGGTAATATTAGTTCGACAATGCTGTGGAAGGATGACAAAAAATTTAATGTATAAAATGAGGTTCTGAGGTTTTAGATTGCAAAATGAAAAGATAAAATCTAGACATATACAGATTATAGTCATCACTCAGTACACATGGGGAGACTCATCCCAGGACCGCCTATGACATCCAGAGCCATAGAAAATAGAAAACAATACAGCTCTTGCATGTAAGCTACGCATACCCTCCTTTACATTTTAAATCATCCCTCCCACAGGTAACTACGATATTTAATACACTGTAAATGCTGTGCTTAGGGAACAATGAGCAAGAGAAAGCCTGTACATGTACAGTACAGATACAACTTTTGCCTAAATATTTTTTTAAAATATGGTTAAATCTGTGGATGTTGAACTCATACATTGAGAGGGCAAGAGATACATGAAAATATAAAAAAATTTTTTTTAAAATTACCATTACCCACAACTACTCTTTAGACAATTCAAGTAACATGCAAAAAGATTCTTACCAGGTAACTAGAAAATCCATCGTTCATCCTCAAACATTCTTCATAGAGAGGACTATCAGTTGTGAATCCAGTGAGGCTGATCCAAAAGGGTCTGTCAGCCTTTTTGTTTGAACCATACAACCTTCGGATCTGCCCTGCCAGCCTACTCATTTCCTTCAAAGAAATAAGAACAACTCAGGGTTGAAACATACCAGCTCACTAAATTCACTATCAATAAACAGTTATACAGTAACTGAATGCCATTCTAGGAAAGCTCCTGAACTCGGATGGCCTCTTCTGCTCCAGGAATGAGCAGATGTACATGTTACCCCTAGGACATTACACTTTATAGTTGACGGTTGAGATAGTGATGTCAGCTCAGAAATCATGAGTTAATGGAAGCACTGAGAATTTTGCTTTTGCTGACCCCACTGTTGCCTATTCAATATGACATAAGAAATGGTTCAGATTTTATCTAAAATCTTCCTGTGTAATACCTACAAGTGCTTGTTATTAAAGATGTTAGACCTATTTTGTTTCCAACCTGGGCTGTTTCATCTCTCCTTGGCAACCAGGAGATCACCATGTTGCCAAAAAACTTAGTGGGGCACCAACTGGCCTAGTGCCCAGTAGCCCAGGACTCTTGGGCTAACACAATCCTACTTCAGCTTCCCGGGTAGCTGGAACAACGGGCATAGACCAAAGGCGAGATTACTGTATCAAAATTGCATACACCATCAAATATGTCTGTCACCTTCACCTAACTTCAAGAGAGACCATAGAATTGAAATTTTAACTTCCCATCCTGCTTGTAGGAAGGCTATTTCACAAACTAGCCTGATTTGTTTAGTAGAGAAAAAAAGGCATTGAGTTTGCTTTAGTCAGATCTATAAATTAATATAAACAATAGAGAATTCCATTTCATCTTTTCAGATAGCCATACTTGAAGGATCCACGTAAGAGCCTCCATGTTAGA